TCGGGAACGATTTCGACTCAACTAGTCGCATTTGCATTTCTCCTAATTGTCATCAATAATCGCATTCTTATGATGAGAACCGATAAGAATCTGATCAGGATTCAAGACTTCGTACCACCTTTTGTCTATTGTTACAGTACTACAGCTGGCACGAGCGTTTGACAAATGATGTAGAAGACCTCATCTGGGTTTAAAAGTTTCACTGTCGTAGTTTTCAGCTATTATTAGACAGCAGTCAGATTCAATTCCATTCAAAGGCAACACTAGAACTTGAAAGAAGAACCTATTCATACATGGCTGCAGAATTCGTACCTGATGGCAACACTATCCTCTTTGGGAGAGGCAAGGCATGTAACTATCACCCAGGCAATCAACGGATGCGATCGATCATTAGCAACTACAAAACTCAATATCGAAGCGCTTCCAAAGGAGAAAAGTCGAAGCTAGTGCGCAAAGTCTACGATGAGTTGGTGGGAGGAGGCATGAAATTCATCAAGCAAACAGAGGGAGGAGATGGTTGGGAAGAAGTTGACGAGAGTGCTGCAATCCAGAAGGTGGGCCACGTTCTTCGACACAAACTGAAGCCTACCAGTATTGAGAAGAAGTCTCTTGCGCAGGATGCCAGTGGTAATGCCTCTAATGAAGAACGGTTGAAATGTACATCGAATAGTTCTTCGATACGAAACCTGGCTCAGGAAGTTGCTGGACTACACAAGATGGCTGATGTGCCACTGAGTCCGAGGACACGGTTGCCACTGACTGGTAGTGCATTACATAATGATGGTGGTTTGGGTCAATCACTTACACGCATGCCTACGAGGATACAGTGTTCTGTGGGTTCCAATCCGAGAAATGAAGAGCTCTCGCAACATCTGTCGATGCTTTCTTCCATCGGAGCTCTCCAACAGCAGATTGGCCGTACATCTCTGCCTCAAGGACCAGGTTTGCCATCAACTGGTGATTTGCTACAGAATAACAACCATCGTCGTGGTCTAGTAGAGCACAGGGCTGATGGATTCAATGGCCATGGCGTAGCAAATCGTTTGCAGAATCATCTGGCACAAATGGAACTGGAACGGCAGCGATCCACTTTGTCAGCGCTCGTGGGTCCGTTGACGCCATCTGGTCTGTCGCCCTTTCTTTCATCAAGAAGCCAACTCAGTATTAGTGGCCAGGGCAATCTATTGGGTCCTCTGGCTGACGCCAATTCACAATTCAATCCAGTTCCTAGCGACGACCCTATGTTCTGGATACGGCTTGCCGCGGCTTCACTCCTGAACAAAGGTGGTTAAGACTCTATCTTCGACAATACTAGATTCGACAATACTAGATTATAGCTATATTGTTCATACAATTAGATATACGGTGCGCTTTCCTAGGTTATAAATGTATTCTCCTTGTTGTTCAAAGAATTACTAGATGTACGGTGCACTTTCCAAATTGAAACTACTTCTCATCATCGATAATTGAGGCGTACTTGGCTCTTGTGGCTGAATAAATCTTGTGAATATTGGGCTCTATGTTGTCAGACACTGAATGCAGCATTTATGGTACCGCCGGTACATTTTCGTGTGCATAATATACACTCGTGACTACAAGGTCGTGACTGCTGATACCTTTTGAATCATGACCCAACTGAAACATCTTGGCTTGTGGTGACTGCCATGGGTTTCAAAATGATAAGTCTACTGCATATTTCTATCTGCATATATCTAATAAATATTCCGTTGATGCGTGCTTTCCCATACTATCGTAGTGTTCGTGGCCGATTCATGTTGAAAGCAACTGAGCGAAGAATGACAACGAAACCCCCGTCACCAAGGATCTGCCTCAACCATGCAGGAGCTTCGCCTTCCTCCAAATCTGTCGTCGATCGCGCAGTGGCACATTTAAAACTAGAGCAAACAGTTGGTGGATATGCAGCTGCTAG